CGTTGAATGATAAAATAAATGACCCGCACTCGTAAAGCGCCTTTCAGAGGACTCCAAAGCGCTTCACACTAGAGAGTGAAGTTTAAGTGATTTGTTTGCGTTTACTTGAAAATGTTTGAGTCAGGGATTCAAATGAAAGAGTGAAAAGCATCTTTGGCTGTTAGTACAGCTTGGTTCATGCTTCCTTGCAGATCAACAGAAGACCAAAACAAGCTCCTGACCTCTGAAAGCAACCTGTGGGTGGGAGGTCTGGGCCAGCAGGGAGAAGGAAGGGTCAAGCTCTGTTGGACATTGTTTGCAGGCCAGATAGGTCCCTTAAGTCTCCTACCAAGGCGTATCTCCTTCTCCCCCAACAACACAAGAGGGTCACTTGATTGATTGGTCAGGATCCATGGGGTTCACGTGCAGGATGAATTTTAGTTGGGTGCACTCAGTGGGTAATACATTTTATCCTACAATTAGCTTAATGATGAAACAGGAATCCTGCAGGGACAGAAAAGTGTTTGATCTACTGCTACAGACCAGATCAGTGATTCTAATGTTTCTAACGTTTTTCATCTCAGCTCTTTAAGGATGACTTTTTAGACATATTTATTAAATGCATGACTTCATTTCAGTTTGTATGCATTAGTTTGAACTTATTTGTCTCTAAATTGTTTTAAACATTTCATTCATACTTCCTGAACATTCTCTGTGAAGGCTAAGTCAAAACCTCTTGGTGTCACTTTTCAACACACAAAGGAGCAATTGAACAAGCAGGAATAACTGGTTGGTTTTATTTTCGGGCATTTTAGGTCTAAAATAGATATCAGAGTTCATCTTTCTTAACAGTGTATGTGGGTTAGCCAGCATAAATAAATAATATGAGTTTTAAAGGTGCAATATGTAATACTACTATGAAATAATCGCACAAATCTAATGTCTCAGTCATGTTGGATGGAAGGTTACACTGATTCTCAGCCAGCTGAGGGGTATTGTCAGTTTTTCGTCTTTGGAAAAAAAAACAAAAGCGGGTCATAGTTACTGTTTACGGACTGTGAGTTTGTGAGGTTGCCAAATCCGCAGTGAGCTAACGCTGCAGTGCAGGCTTTTGTGATTTGACACCAGCAGGCAAAAATCTTCACAGTTGTTTAAAAAAAAAACAAAGCCAGTAAACAGGAGCGACCCATAAGTTATTTCTTGTACCCCTAAGAAGTCACCACATCTTCTTGTTTTACTCTAATATCGGGTGAAGCAAACTAGAGGCTAACGCTGAGCTATAAATGCTCACAGTGAAGTAGAAACAAATAGCTGACTAAAAATATCTCAAGCTAAATATTCAATTACCAACAGCTCGATTTTACAGTGAAGCGTGTGTGAAGTGAATGAGTCAATTGTGGCGTTTTACTTCCTTTAATGAGTCATTCAGAGCGATAACAACAAGCTAACAGCAAGATGGCAAAGAACACTCCCTGTAATAGGGAGCCTAAAGCTTGGTTTATGCTTGACGCATTCACTTTCCGCTTGGTGATGCGGCTCGCGGATGGAACGCGCTTCACAACTCGTAGCGTTTATGGTTCATGCGGCTTGTCTCTGCGGTGAGCCAATATTCTCCCAAACTGAACGGGGCAGCATGGAGCTCTACGGCATGCATCCAACACTACACCATAGTAGAGGTAAAAATTACTGTTGTTTACAACATGGCATTCCAGCATTTTTAACAGCATCCTCGTCTTTTCCGACAGTGCGAGCTATTTCTCCAAGAATTATTAACAACATGTTGATCACGGTGATCTCTGAGAGCTGAATCATACAAATGTCTATATTTACGAACCTCTGCCATACTAGTTCTTGGCAGTCCGCCATGTTTTTCCACATCCGACCGTCCGCGTGGTTAGAAAATTTCCTAGGTGCGCGGTGCGGAAATTTTGGGCGCGTTGTTGTTAAAATGACGCAATTTCGCCGCGCGGAGCCGTGCGGACCTCGCGGACGCGTCAAGCATAAACCAACCTTAAGTCTCCTCCCTTTCCAGTCGGCTCATGGGAAGAACAAAAAAATGAATGCAAGTCAACGGGGCTAAAAGAGCTATTTTCTATTTCGCTTTGCCATACACCCTGGATCGCACATATGTTGTACTGCAATTTAAATGAAGACTAACGATGGATGTTTCGAACACGCCAGTCACGTACTTTGAGATTTATCAGCTTGTAATATTTTGTAATTAGCATGACTACAAATTAGACATCAGCACGTCGCATGTATGTCGTCACCACATAATCTCTTCTCCTCTAGCATAGCTGCTACTTACTACATGGCCAGATTTATGGTGTTTTTTTTCCTCCTGAAGGAAGGATTTTAAGTTCGCTAAACTTACAGCCATTTTCCCTCTGTATTTATCCGTGTCTGGTTTGATGACATCACTTTCGTGACGCGTATTTGTAGTCCTGGACTTATTTTCATACAAAATCTAAAATAACGTTTCCCTCCGTTCGAAAATAAGCAAGTTCTTGGTGTCAAAATGTGTCTTTAAAATTCACGGACATCACATGTGAAATCCATGGCTTGTAACAAGCAGAATTAGAAAATAACGTTTTTAGCCCCGTTAACTTGCTTTCATTTTTTCGTTCTTCCATGGGCCCATGGTCCGGAGGTAGATGGGGTGACCTAGGCTCCCTATACCATAATAAGTGTAGTAAGTGCTCCTTACTGTAAAACACCCAATGCTGTAACACAATGTATCTACTTATCAATACTGTGAATGACTTGTTCCATTCGTCTCTTCTGGTACTGATCCGCTACTGGCAACAGCCATGAACAGCAGTGAGAAAGTGACTGCAGTAACCAGATTTGACACAGAAAGTCCTCTTACCCCGGGTTTCCACGGGAGCCGTCAGCAGCACGTTACTGCAGCAGCACGTCTAGCTGCTGCTTGGCCCTTCCCACGAGACGCGACGCAGCAGAGGAGCAGCTGTCACCGACAGAGCACGAAGTCACACGAGTGACTTCGTCAGTAAACACAACAACAAGCAGGAGAAAACTACAACATGGCTCCAAAATGTTTGTGTTTTTATATTCTGTCCGTTTTATAATCGCCAATACGGACCTGAAAAACAAAGGGGACCGCTAGCTAGGTGATAACTTCTCACGGGGCCGCACAGTTAGTAACCTTTTTTAAAGTAAAGCGACCGGAAGGCAGTACGTTCTTTATTCTGAAAATCTCGGGAGCTTCTCTCCATTTCCGCGTCCGATTTCCTGTCTTTCCTTCCCCAAAAATGTCGAACTTGACCCGTTTCAGAGGCGTCGCGCGTAGGAAATAGAACCGGCGCGTAAAGGCCGCGACATGCTGCTCCTGAGACGCGGCCGACTCGCGCTGCTGACGGCTGCTGACGGCTCCTGTGGAAAAGGTTCTGTTGACCACAGCCGTTCCTATCAGCAGCTATGACGTGCTGCTGCAGTAACGTGCTGCTGACGGCTGCTGTGGAAAGCCGGGGTTAGACAGGCCACTGCCTTTAAAAACACATTTATAAATTCATTATTATTACCTGTCTATTAACATTATAATTCTCATGTCATAATATCTTAACCCTTATTACTCCAACTGAATAAAATATACGAAACATACCAATGTTCTCAAAACTTAAGTTTGTTTTTCTTTACCTGCTGAAAAGCTGCAATCATTTTTTTTACCAATAGTACAAAAGTGCTGTGGAGAAGTAGAGGTTCCTATAATCAAATGGCAGGTTTTCATTCAAATTGTGATGCTTTTTCCACTTTCACAAACTATTTGGTTGTTAATTTTCATCAAACAGTGAACAAATTTCAGAAAACCATCCAGTGGGCAAGATTATTAAAATGTAATCATGAAAGTTTATTGTGCCGATCCAAACTCCAAACTAAACTGATTGTTAATGAAAATAAAAGCACCTTCGTCACGGTCACTGCGGCACTCAGGTGTAATGAGACGGGAATAAGAACGAGTTGTCCAGGTGCTGCAGCAGAAACTGAAATCACGAGTTGCCAAAGACAAACTGACATTTCTGCAGAGGTCTGCAGAAAAACGTGTCATAGATAACTGCAGCTCAGGCCTGCAGATGAGAAGACCTCCCACATGTCCCACTTTGGTTTGAAGTAGAATGAGCTAAAGAATAGACAAGAATACAATTTAAAAACAAAACATGTTGAGCGTGTGATGTAGATGCAGAGTAATCAGCTGAGTGAATGTTTCAGAATTTTTCATTCTGATGTTAGCCCAGATCTGGACGAGTGAGGGAGTAGAGGGAGGTGGAGTGTACAGTCGGTAAAGACGGCTCTCCCTGGCCCTGTTTCCAACGTGCCTCGATTTAAAAGGCTAGGCTACCCAGAGTTATGCTGCTATAGGCTTAGACTGCTGGAGGACGTACGGACCACTTTCCACACTCTGTTACTTTTTTCTACCACTTCTCTCAAATTTTTTTTCCTGCTTTTTCAGCTGTTAACTTTATTTTCTCTCTGAGTGTTTGTCTCCACAGAAGAAGTTACAACGGTGTTCTGCTGAGCTGTGGTAGCCTCATGGAGGGGGCCATTGGCTAGCACACTGCTGCTAAACACTCAACATTCTCCCTCTCCTGATAATAACTTTTATCTCTTTGACATGGAATGTGCTACTACTAGTTTACCTGTTCAATTAATTATAGATTCACTGAGATAAAGATAATAAAGTGTATCTCTTACTAAATAGAATATTTACTAAGAAATCACATTGTAGCCTGTGTGTGTGTGTGTGTGTGTGTGTGTGTGTGTGTGTGTGTGTGTGTGTGTGTGTGTGTGTGTGTGTGTGTGTCTGCTCTGTCGTCTCGATGGCTGCTTACTGAGCCAGGATCCTCTGGAGGTTTCTTCCTGTTAAAAGGGAGTTTTCCTCTCCACTGTTGCCAAATGCTTGCTTGGTGTGAGGATTGCTATAAAGACTCTGACACTAGTCAGTGACTCGATGCAATTTCCTTATACAGGAAACTTTTTACTGATTGGCTTAATGAACTGAACTGTATTACTCTGTGAAGTGCCTTGAGACGACTTGTGTCATGATTTGGCGCTATATAAATAAACTGAATTGAATTAATATTTGAGAAACCTTGACAGGATGATTAAATCTTGATTGATGCTTTTATTTCATATGCAAAATGAGTTTATGTAAATTTTAGATTTATTTTTTTAGTTTAAGTGTTAGAAAAAAATTCCCAATCGCATGTTTCACACATCAACAGCTAAGCTATTGTTGAAACAGCAGGGTATTTTTGTGGGGTTATCACCATCTGCAAGCATTGTTGGACTTCCCCTTTACATCAACAACCGTGGACTGAGCAATGGTCTGTCTAATTGTCCCATAAAGGGTGTGAGCGTGTCAGATCCTGGCATCAAATGCAGTTGTGTCCAGTTTAACAGACTCCTTGATTTAGTGACCGTATGACACGAGGCCTGTTAGTTCCCCTATCTGTGTTTGGAGCCAGACTTCTAGTCTGGCCCCCCTCCCCTTCAGCCTGACTCCTCTCTGCACCCCTCAGGGTAGCCTGAAATGGTTCTCAAGCTGCTGATTAGGGCCAGTTAAGCTTCCTGCAAGAACTCCAGTGGATCAAAGAGCAGAAAAAGGTCCAAAGGGTCCGTCTAATTAAAGTCAAATTCAGGAAAAGCCTCCAAGTTTCATCGTGGACCAGCAGATTCAGACAATGTGATTTTGATGATGGCACAGAGGGAATCCATTCTCCTCCGAACTCCCCAGGGTTGGGAGAGGAGACCACCTCTGTGACTGACAGCCGTGAAACGGGAAAAATCACGGACCGCCAGGATCAGGATTTACCAAAAAAAGCAGAACCAAAATTCTTTGAGCTCCTTGCGAGGTTGCACCAAATTCCCTGCTGGGATCAAGTGCAGAATGAAAAGCTCTTTCTCATGCTCCCAGATGCTTAATCTGAATAAGTTGAAACATTTGTTTGGGTGGGGACACGACTTTCCAAGGGCCTCTAACTCATTAACAAAAGACGTTTTTTTTTTCAGTAGGATTAACATCACATAAAGCTGTAAATTTAGATAAATGCTTGTCATTTAAAAACAAGCCTCACTAAATGGAAGAATAAAACTTTAAAAGACTCCATGCCCAAGCCTGAAGCTTTCATCCTTTACTTGTGGCTTTTTTTATGGCCATTTTGACACTGGTTGGATTATAACTAATGACTTGGCACATATGCTGTTTGCCTCTTACTGTCCTCGTCAAACGGAGTAAGACCACTCCGGCACCTGGGTGCAAAGCCTTTCGCCCGGCAACAAGCTGCTGTTCTCCAGCCCTCGTTGAGTGGAGCAATGTGTGGCGAACACATGGCTCATCCAAATGGTTGCAAGCTCCCCGTTCATTAAAATGCGAACCTTCTTTTAACTACTCCAGATGCTTTGAATAATCCTATAATGCTTACTTGCCATCTTCCATTCCAGAAACCACGTGAGCATTCGGAGCTGTGATCCAAATGATCTGTTCAAGTTTAACGTGAAACACGTGCGAGCAGCAACCGGTGCCACGTCGCCGCGGTCCGTGTCCCCACAAGGTGCACCCACTTGGTTTTTATGTTTTGGGACAAGACAGGCGTTGAAAAGTGCCACTTCACCTACATCCGACCACCTTGGTGTTCAAAAAGCAGAACTGGTGTTTAAATAAAAGCAAACCTACACGTGTCCCTGCAGGTTAAACTCCCCCCGTGTGTCTCCTGTTGAAGGAAAAGCACAAAGGAAGTCCAGACAACCCTCCCTGAGGGGACAACGGCAGCCTCTCGCAGTCCTCAACACTTCTTCTGTTGGACAGGTGATGGGACCTCTGTCTTCCTGCTGGGAGAGGATAAATCAGAGACCATCGGGACAACAACCATTTTCACTTGACTTCATCCAAGGGTGAATTACAACAGGAAAAGTTGTTGGAGCATGACTTTCCTCACACGAGTCTTTGTTTAACTCGTTCACTAATGGTGGGAATTCAGGTAGGTCCCCATGTGTGGAGCCATGCATCACCAGGTGACAGAAATACACATGGAAGCCATTTTTATTTCACCCGATCGCTCTGCTCCAGGAATATATTTTAAGGTAGAAATGTTCGGAAGTTTGAATAAATCGTGTTTCCACAAAAGGAGTTCGTGGAATTTTCTGGGAGGGAGTTAAAGCTGCGTTGGCAAATTTGGAAAACAAATAACTTAAAACATTTTTTCATGCCTCTTAACAACGCTCTAACATATAAATAAAATAATAAAGTGCTTCTCTCATTTGTCTAACGACCTCCACCGATGAGTACAAACACTTTTTCCATTTTTTTTAATTTCCCAAACAGTTTTAATGTTTGCTCAAGTGATCAAATCTGCAAATTTTAAACATTAGAGGTTCAAGCACCTTATTTGATCACACATAGATACATGTTTCGTTTCTCTTTAATATCTAGCATTAACCCAAATTATCCAGTATTTAGACTTCTACCAACAAAAACGCCTTTTAAAAAAAATTCCTTAGTTTTCAGTGTTGTTGCAGGTGGTGGCGCCGCCTCACGGACACAACACGTCTCCATTTGTGCAGCTGAAAGACTCACCAGCACTGAATCCCAGACTTCTCTGTGTTTATTTCCACAGAAAGGCTGAAGTGTTGGTTTGGGTTGCTTGTCTGACTGGACTGACCCCTGACTGCATTCTTTTCATAATGCCAGCTCCGTCTCTGGTGAAGCCTGACAATGTCTGGTATTGTTTTCCAACGGGAATGATGTTTTGCCAAAGGATATGAATCCCTGAGCGGACTGGAATGACCCCGAAAACACCCCCACCCATGTCAGACCAGACATGTGTTAGTCACTTTTCTTGCACTAATATTGATCTTTAATATTAGAAGAACCTTTTGAGATTTTAACTGTACTCAAGGTGACTTTTCCCTTTCACAGACAACTTGATGGAGCTCTGATCTCTCCCGAGACGTGATGGCAGATGGCGGAGATCCGCAACACATCTCGCCTGGATTCAGGCAGACATCATTCAGGTCAGAGGAGCTTAAACAAAACAAGGCTTCATGTACATCCAAACAACTGGTCTGAGGTAAGGTCAACACTGTTGACATTTTCAAGACTTTGTGAACTTCCTCCTTTCCTTCGTTTGCCTTGAGAAGGATTGTGAGCAGTAAAGCCAAACAATGCCAGGGCACAAGGTTTCCCTCCTGGAGATGTAAACTCCAAACAAAAGGCGTCGTTATCGGAGGGCGAAAGGAGGGGAGAGGGCTGGAGGTCGGCCCAAAGGGCAGAATCAACAGAGGGGGGCACAGTGGTGCGAGCACGCAGAGGTCAAACTTCAGTTACGGGCTTTAAGGAGGACTGGAACTGTGACTGGTGAAGATCTGGAGTAAACAAGGATGAGTGAAGAAAGGAATTCTTTAGAAAAAAAATACTTTTGAAGAAAAGTTGGGGTTCATTTTAAAAACTAGAAAGACACATTTTTTAAGACCAAAATAATTGAGAAATAGTTTTTACGTGTTCTTTTTGAAATAAGATCATCACTAACAAGCTGGCTAAACCTGAAAACAGTTTTCTACTCCTATTTTCTGAATTAGCTGCTGATAGAAAATAGACGGGAAAACGCTCGGATTAGAAAAGCAAAAAGTCACATTGAAAATTAGCATTCATGGTCTTACCCTTCTTGACTCGCTACGAGGAAGGCTGTTGTTGATGTAGCATCCAGGAAAGAGCAGAGCACATCTTGGCTAGTAGAAGCTAACCATTAGCATTAGCAACTCCACAACACGGCAGAACTCCTTCAGGCTTGAGTTATTTGTGGCGATACAAAAACTCCCAAAGATTCATGAAACATCACGACCGAAAATGTGTTCTTTCTGATCTGTTTTGCTATCAGACCTTTGATTTGTTCTTTGTTTTTGAATTATTTTCATTAAAAATGCCCAAGAAATGCTTTTGAACTTGTGTTTGTAGTAAAAAGTGAAAATAAAGATGAATTTTTCTACAAATAGGTTTTCCTTCAATTTTATAGATATGTGCGATTAAATGACAATACTATTTTTAGGCATCTCAAAGGAGACGGAAAATTGATGCACATCCAGGAAAACTATGAACTCAGACCATTGCATTTAGATGACCTTTACCCTCTCACTGTTGAACTTACTTAGCCAGCTAAACGAAGTGCAGCTACTTCGTATGATTACCTCTGTGCCTCTAAATAGCCACCACATGGCTCACAAAGTCCTCATCAGGTAGAACGATGCCAACAAATGGTCCAACGTTGCAACAGGAAGCTGGCCCAAGTGGGGTTTCCTCCCTTTGAAGTACCATTAATCCTGAAACGTGTATGTGTGTGTGTGTGTGTGTGTGTGTGTGTGTGTGTGTGTGTGTGTGTGTGTGTGTGTGTGTGTGTGTGCGCTCGTGCAGCGTGTGTGTGTGTGTGTGTGTGTGTGTGAAGCGTGTGTGTACTGGAGCTGCATTAGAGGACCTGAAAAAAGGTAAAGGTGCTTTAAAACCTTCTAGATTGAAAACATTTAGCCGTGTGAGTCCAGGTGTGTTTAATTCTCATCCTCACATCCTGACAGAAGGTACGTGACAAATCTGACAACCACTTTTAATACCTCCTTGACTTTTTTAGGGCACTGAGCTCTCACTGATTAGTCAACATTTATAAAAAGAAGTGATTGAAAAACAGGTTCATGAGGAAACAGTCTGGAATATTTAAAGAAAGAGCCGTTCAAAACTCAAACTAATGACTCTGCCTTGCAACCCCTTAAAAATGGAGAGTAATTCATCCTCATGGACATGCAACAGATATCGATTTGTGCCTTGGTTCGTGCGTTTTAGGAGGATAGGGATGTGGGTGCAGTGGTGCTCCCAGAATTTTTTCAAGTGGGGTCCAGATGGTGCCAGTAAAAATGTTGGGGTGGCACTCCAAATTGGTCCCTTTAGTAACGATGGGAGTGTTTAGCCTGTAGCCGTGTTGCAATGGTCCTTCGTTCTTTTTTATTAAAAAAAAACAGCAGACCTGTGCATCTTACACATTTTCGCCTAATTAGAGAACAACAAACATTAAAAAAGACACAATTTCAGTTGTTTTTGTTATTGTTTCTATTTTTTTTTACAGTTCAATTTTCCTGTTTCTGTCTTGACAAAAATCTTCACAAAAGTGCTTGAATTTATACCTGTTTTTTTTTGGTAAGCCACACTGACATGTACATATAAATTATGATTTGTTAGATAAATGATTTATTACAGAAAATTAATCTACTGGCTTTAATATTTATGTCTTGATAAAATAAGAACCTGGATGTACTTCATTAAGGTGGTGGTGGGGTGTTCTTCAGTGGGGAGTTCAGTATGGTAGCCAAGTATTTTCTGGGGGTGTCCATGCCCCCCCCCCAGCCACCCCTCTGTTGTGCCGCTGTCTGGGTGCCTTAGTAGAAGGCAGATTTGGCCAATCAGGAGACTTGTTTTCCATGAAAGGCGTTCTGATGTGATGTCTCAGTTGTGACTTTGCAGAACCTTCCGGACCCCCTGTCTTCTCAGTATGTGATGTTTCACGGGTTTTACAAGATTATCGCCCCAAGTTAACGGGCTTTTAAATAGCCGACTGGCACCAGGAATCAAGTGAGGAATGAACCACCTGCCACGTCATTAGGTGGTAAGAGGTGGAGTCTCACTGGAGGACAGGATGGCGTCAAACAAGGCCGTTTGCCACCGGTGCTCAGCCAGAAGTGTGGCTTCCTTGTGTCAAGGCTGTGAGGTCAGATGTCAAGGAGTGGGATCAGGGGATTGTGCTTCTGCCCCCTCCTCCCAGATGTGGTGGTGGATGGCTCCGGTCTGGAGGTGCCCCAAACGTAGCGTGACAGCAGAAACACTGAAATGCCGTTCTTTCTTTCTGAGCTTTGTTGGGCTCGTCAGCTATTTTTAAGCATCGCATTTCAATACCTTAATACGCGTGTTTTCAGACTTCCTCTGAGTTGAAAAGCTCTTTATCTGAGCTGTTTTTGTTGTTTTTTTCTCGTTGTCTGTATGACAAAGCAGAAAATACTGACTGATAAAGGTGTCTGGTTTATCATTGCTCGCTTTCGTTCTCCATAACTTACCTGCAGCAGCTCTTGTGTTGTACTTCCTCACTGGCTGGTCGGTCCTGCCAGGAATGATGAGTCTGGGAATGAGAAACAGGTGTGGTGTGAAAACGTGGGTCTCACTCCTTTATCTCTCTCTCTCTCTTCGACCTCTCTTGTTACCAGCCAGATAAAGGTAGGAGTGTGAGCAGAAATGAAAGACCATGGAAAGTTAGAGTTTTGGGTGCTCTCTGAATCTGGCTTTAATAATATTGTGCTTAAAGGGTCTAAAGTTCACCTGATAGCTGCGAGGACAATAAAAGGACTCGAACAGAGGACAGTTAAAGAGTGAACAACAGGGAAATGTGACTAATAAAATCACAATCAATGACAATTACTCAGGAGGGTGAAACTTCCTTTCATTCATTCAGTAAATCAATTATTTAAAAAAATTGTAAAATTAAAAAAAATTCAACCAAACGGGTCATAGATTAATAAATAGTTTTTTATCTTTCTTGTAACATTGATTCATATATCATGCAACACCAAAAGCCTTATGATTTATTTTGACGTTGATGATGGTGCCTGCCAACCCCACCCTCGATGTTCTCCACCCCACCCTCCCCCCCGAGGGGGCCGGGACTCCCTGATCCAGCCGCGGCGCGCAGCGCTCAGTGTGCCAGCGGAGCGCCACGCTGTCCGTCCGACACCGACGCAACCGGATTTGGGGGAGAAGCTGAGTGGATGACGGGAGCATACGAGGTGAGAAAACGGGACTCCAGGTTGGTTTGTGGGAATATTCTGGATTTGGAAGTTTCTGCGTCGGACGCCGGTGGATTGATCCGTCCGCTGTGCGATCATTTTACCCTTCTTCTGCTACCAGGTGGCGTTTACGGATATAAAATACGTTTTTCTGACCACAGATACTCACAGAGGCAGATTCCGGTCCAGCTGTTTTTCAGCTCTCTGGTCCCAAATGGGCTTTAAATATCTGTTTTACTAAATCATGTTCAGAGTTTGTCCCTGTGGGAGTTTTATCTGGGACCTAAAAGTCTTTTCTTCTGCAGCAAAGCAGCAGGGTTTTAAATGGACCATCACTTTTAGAGGGGATGACAAGTGCATCATCTAACCTATCTTTGGACCTGAAATCAGCCTTGAAGCTCAGTTTAGCTGCATGCATGTATGAAGTGAATGGGACAGAGATGAGCATGCGTGCGCTGTAGAATGCACAACTGGCACGAGGCTAAAGGTTTATTGCATGCTAAACTTTGAGATAAACTTCTGAAAATTGCACGATCAGTTGATTTTATCATGTTCGCAGGCGAGTTTATTAAAGAGCATAAAATACAAGCAAGGCTGCAGAGGGTTGTTATGCAACCACTCCAAACTGAAAGGATTCTCCTCCGAGGAGGGGGTCAGCACCACCTTGACCCACCTCCACCCCTCCAGCCCTGCCTCTCTGCATAAGCATCAAGAGTTGGTTTGATCAGCAGCATAAACAACCCTGCAGCCAGACTAAACAGACCACGCATGTCTTCCAGATACATCAATTCTGATGTTCACAATGAGCATGTGTCGTTTTTGGTCAGTGGGCCGCAGCAGGATGGTTAATAATGCAGATCATGAGAGGATGACGGTGCTTTATTCTGAAGGGGTGGTCTTTTATTTGCCCGTTTGAGACGCTTAGGGTCCTAGCAGCAGGAGCTTTTGAACATCTGACATGAGTTAGCCCACTTTGGGACAGCTTTTAAAGATTTCAGTGAGATGTCTTTTTGTCAGCACGCTCTTTGTTTGTGTTTATGTTTGATTCCCTTAAATCTCGCTGTCTTAAATCATTGCCTGAGAGCTAGATTGTAAACACAGGTCCTTCCTATCACACATAAACACAGGAGATAAATATCGCTGCAGTAGCAGAGCCACCTGCAAATTAACAGTTTGGAGTGGTTATAAACAAGCCTGTTTTCTACTCAGAATCAGGTTGGTGTGTGCTGATTTTCCCCCTGCAGTGATGCATTTGGTGCTGATCCCAGCGGAGAGGCCAGGGGTGCAGAGGTGTTTGCACCACTTGACAGGACTCCTGACGTCATCGTGACTGAATAAATATCTATTTAAGTCTTCCTGCTTTGGTTTACTCCGCCAGAAAGAATGCAACACTCAAGAAACCCCGCAGAGGCTTGCTGGCTTTAAATGTGTGCAGAATAGTTTCCAGGATGTCCTAAAATATTTGCAAATGTTCTCAATCTCCTTGCATGAGTGGGGACTTTTGAACATTCCTCAAGTTTCCTCTCAAAATAGCCAGAGTCGCTGCAGACATCTGGATCTTGTCTCAAACCCTTCTCGATTTAGTTTCTGTGAGTCAGAAAGGGAGAGAAATGTGGAGCAACTTTTGGAAGAGGTTGATGACTTGTGATTTATGAAAGCATGTGATGGGTTGAGGACGATAAAAGAATAATGTGACATTCAGAAGACAACAAGAGTCATAGAAAAAGGGACAAATTGCAAACAAATTAAAACATAATTCAGATTGTGAAACGGAAAATTTGCACGACTGTTGCAATTTCATCATAAACCCAACATGACCCATCCTGATGCTAATGTTCAGTTTGATTCTTAAAACTTGCTTTTTTTCTCTCGGTTTTGCTGTTTATAACTGGTCTTTTGGTCATAAACAGCAAAATAACTGTTTCA